TGTTTTGTTTTGTTTTGTTTTGTTTTGTTTTGCAACTCATTCCTGGTAAGACCTAACCTGACCTGAATTTATTTAGTGGCAAAACCTGAACTGAGCTCACATGTCATGTGTCTATTTATAGTCTTTACTAGAGGCCCGAGCATGAAATTCATGCACGAGGGAGGGGGTGGAGGGGGGAGTGGGGGAGGAGATCCCCTTAGCCCAGCCTGCACCCTCTCCAATCCGGGACCTCTTGGGGGGTCGCCCACAACTGCCCCCCCGCCGGCCTAGTCACCCCTCACTGTTCCCCCCCCGCCAGCCTAATCGCCGCCAATCCCCTCCCCCTGGTTGCCCCACGCAGCCTGCTGTTCAGTCGTTTGGTCGTCCCTCACTAACCCCCCTGCCGACCTGGTCGTAGGCAGCCATTTGTGAGGGTGTGAGGGTCAATTTGGATATTACCTATTTATTATATAGGATAGGATTAGAGCTTTTTACCACTTGGGGTAGAACTATTTCCCAAGTTTGTTTGCAATTAGATGTGCTAATTATTCCACAAATGATAATGTTGATACAGTTGTGTTTCTGGGATCTTTGCCTTGTCTCTACAAATGAGCCCTAGATCACTGAAACTTTTTCACGTATACTTTTAATTTTATAAGTATTAAATTCTCCATGTTTAAAAAGAATTATTAAAACATGACAGTCCCCTTCTTCTCCCCCAGGTTGCCATTATCATTGTTTTCTTATGTGAGTGTACACTGTAAATTTGTTTCTTTTTCATTGGAGGGTGTCTCATTTTCTGTATTCGGATGGGAAGAGAGGTATCTTTCTTTAACTGCCTGTGGTGTGGATATACTGCACTTTACAAAGTCAGCCTGATGATGGATATTTCTGTTGTCTCTAATTCTCTGCCTGTGCAGAATGGTAATTGTAATGAACTTCCTTCTACATGGATCCTGGGGCTGTTCAGTAGGTTTGTGGGCTCCCATTGAATAATTTTTCTCCACTTACACTCAAATATGGCTGGACCAATTTGGGTTGTGTTGTTTCCCCTCTGCCTTCTCCTGCTGTTAAATTTTCAGCTACTGCTGCTGAGCCCTCCTCACCTCATTCACTGCTTATCTCCTCTGAGCTTGGATATTCGATCTTCTTATGTATAAGGAGAGCAGAATAAACAGGATTCTCATGAATAAAATGTAGAAATTTTAATTCACAGGCACGGTTAAATCTGCTTTCACTGGAGGTAGTTGGTGTATGTTTCAGCCTCCTTCTGAGATCCTGGGTTTTATTTTTGGCAGTTATGTTCCAGAGAGATAAAACGTGTGGCCCATGATTTTGAGAGAGAGTTCTATAAATACTTATGCCATGTGTCACAAAGATAAAATTATATTAGACCAATAAGGTCCTCCCAGTTGTCTAGTAAAGATACTGGTTTTATATTAAATCATAATTGCTGAGGTTGTTGCATGTCATTACAGTGGCTCCTGATATTCATGTTAATTCTAGTATTCCTGGACTCACAGCAAAGGGAAAGCAATGTAAAAGGCACTAGATTCTGCAGCTGAAATTCCACAAGTATGGGCAAAGATTCCAGTAACACAACTGTATCAACATTATCATTTGTGGACTAAGTGTGTTCCACCACCCATCACCACCCCCAAATACTCATATATGAGTCTGGCAATCACATCCCTTATAATCTTTGAACACAAAATAAAGGACAATGATAGAGAAATATAGCAACTTAAAAATTCTGCTGTTAAATCCTTTACTGTGGGGGTGAAGCCCACAGACTTGGCAGCCGAAGTGGATTCTGAAGGGGCAGGTGCTTTTTCTTAAGCCCTTGGTAGGCTTTGGTAACTGGCATTTCAGTTGGCACATGCTCACTTGGGCATAGTCTCTGTGGCATTTGAGCTCAGCCTTTTCCTATAGGAAGGCTGAGTTCAGAAAGAACTTGGTATGACAAGAAGGATGCCTTCTTAGTCTATTAATCTGTAAGTTTTATTCTGTCAGAGGTCTTAGTCGAGGCTGAGGCTTCCTTAGATAGAGAAATCATGGTTATATAGTTTTGTCAATATGTCAGGCTATCTTAAGATAAATGGACCTTTGGTTTTCCAGCTCCACTTCAGTCCTTTGTTTTGGCTGCCTGTCCAAGTCTGAACTCTCTCCCCATTGCTCTTCAATCTAATGGTTTGGTTGTTAGCACTCCCTGCTCTGCAGAGAGCTTAGGCCAATAGTCTGAACTGTTCATATATATTTTTTACAATATGTTTATATTGATTTTTAGAGAGAGAGGAAGGGGGAGGGATAGAGAGATTAAAAAAGAAAAAGTCAATTGGCTGCCTCCTGCGTGCACCCCTACTGAGGATTGAGCCCGCAACCCAGGCATGTGCCCTGACTGGGACACGACCTCTTGGTTCCTGGGTTGATGGTCAACCACTAAGCCATGATATATATTTTTTACAATATGTTTATATTGATTTTTAGAGAGAGAGGAAGGGGGAGGGATAGAGAGATTAAAAAAGAAAAAGTCAATTGGCTGCCTCCTGCGTGCACCCCTACTGAGGATTGAGCCCGCAACCCAGGCATGTGCCCTGACTGGGACACGACCTCTTGGTTCCTGGGTCGATGCTCAACCACTAAGCCATGCCAGCCAGGCATGTTCATATTTTAATCCGAGACCATTTGGCCAGCATGGTGCATGAATCCAACCATGTGTCTTAAGAAGTCCTTGTCACCACTCTCAATTTGAAGCAGGGTGATAGAAAAAGTTATACTCTAGAATATATATTTTTTAAAAATATATATTTTTTATTGATTTCAGAGAGGGAGAGATAGAAACATCAGTGATGAGAGAAAATCATTGATTGGCT